CAGGTTTAGATTGGAACAAATGGGTTATAAACAAAACGGATACTCATATACCAGATAATATAAAATATATATTGGCTCTAGGTCCAAAGTTTTCAATCCAACAAAAAATTTTAACATTCAATGATTCAATTAAAGTTATTAGCAGCCTAGAAGCCGGCCTTAAATTAATCAAAGATCTAGAAGGAAAAGAAATCGAACGGATAAGATTTATGTTAATGAAACAATTTACAACATTTCAAAAAACTCACAAAAACAAAGTACAGTGCAAGAATGATACATCTTACATCTACCGGGACATCATAGCTACAAAAAAATTTCTTCAAGATAACAAACAATTATTAGTGTGTAAGGCAGATAAAGGAAACATTTCAGTGGTTTTGTTAAAAGAGGAATATGATAAAGAAGCAAAGAAAATTCTCAGTAATGAATCTCTATATGAAGAATTGGCATCGGATCCGAACAACTATCACCATAGACAGGTTTTTAAATTTATAAATTTATTAGAGAAAAAGGGACATATTAATAATACCACATCATTAAAGTTAAAAGTACAACATCCTTTAACCCCAAAATTCTATTGCCTTCCAAAGATCCATAAACCTAATTGCCCATTTAGACCAATTGTTTCCTACATTGATTCGCCATACTACTTTTTAGCAAAATATTTTTCAGATATTTTAAAGAATGTCACCATAGATTCTCCATACCGTTTAAATAACTCTTTACAGTTAATAGAACATATAAAACATAAAGTAATTCCTCCTGATTGTTCCTTTATGAGTCTTGACGTCATTAATTTATTTAATAATCTTCCGCATTATCTAATTATTACAGCTATAAAGAAAAGATGGATGCAAATAGTTGAATTCACTTGTTTACCGATGGAAATTTTTATTTCAGGAATAGAATTACTTTTAAAAGCATCATATTTCACTTTTAATAAAAAATATTATACGATGAAGAGAGGTTGTCCAATGGGCAGCCCATTAAGTCCTGTTTTGGCGGATTTAGTATTACAAGATTTGGAAAATCATGTCTTAAATTCTTTACCTTCCAAACCTATGGTTTATTTCAGATATGTCGATGATACATTAATATTACTTAATAAAAAAGATATAGATAATGTTTTCAACAAATTCAATGAGTACAATTCTTTTTTACAATTCACTCAGGAACTTGAAAATGATTCGACGTTACATTTTCTTGACGTAAAACTCATTAATAGAGGCGGTGTATGTTATACAGACTGGTACAGAAAAGATAGTTGGTCCGGGAGATACATTAATTTTAATTCGCATGTTCCTCTCAATATAAAAATTTCTACCATTCTAAATCTTGTAGATCACGCTATTTTATTATCTGATCCCCTGTTTTATGATACAAACATAAAATTAGTTAAAACGATCCTACTTGGCAATAATTTTCCATATAAGTTAATTTGTCCAATTATTAAAAATAGAGTCGCAAAATTACTTGAACCTTTTGATAAGAAACCGGAAGAGCCTGGCAAAACAAGTGTTCCTGAAAAAACTTTTTTCATTAATTTTCCATATCTTGACAATAATTTTAACCAATTATCAAAAAGACTTTTCAAAAAACACAATATTCGTATTACTTTTTCTCCATTAAAACAATTAAAATTTTTATATTCCAAAATTAAAGATGAAACTCCATTAACAAAAAAGAAAGATATAGTTTATAAAGTAAATTGTTTGGATTGTAATTGCTCTTATATTGGCCAGACCTGCCAGAACTTAGAAAAGAGACTCAGGCAACATGAATTACAATGTGAAAAAATAGATAACAAAAAATTTAAAAGTACACTTGTGGATCATGCTAATATCAACAACCATAAGTTTGATTTTGACAATCCCCAAATTTTATTCCATGAGAAAGACTTATTTAAACGGAGCATGGCAGAATCAATGTCAATAGTTCGGACTAACAATAGCATAAATCTAAGAACCGACACAAATATTTTACTTGACACTTATATAAACATCATTAATAATTTATAAATTTTTCATTTATCTTATTCTTTTCAATAAATTAATTTGTTTTTTCATTTTTATCGATTTTTGTATGCGATAGCACTCATTTTGTTTACATTATAATGATACCCTCTCTGTCTCCATCTAGAAAGTACTTTAAATTTGTTTAGAATATTTCTGTAAGTGTTATATGTTTCTTTAGTACTGTGTCAAGCATTGCAAGGAATAGTTGGTGTTTTTTGTATATCAAAAATTAAATGAAATTTAAATAAAGTATTAAAGAATGTGTAGTATATAAGTAACTGTTTTTGAAATTACACTGAAGATGAGACACACCATGGTCTCGAAACGTCTGTAATCATAAAATAAAGTTGTGTTAAACAAATCTGAGTGCTGTTTTGTTTATATTAAACAATTAATATATATATATAATTTGCACGAGCCTGGACATTTCTTTAAATTCGAGCACATATTATTTACTACAGTATTGTATATTGGATCGAGAACATATTATTTACAACAATGTTCTGCATTGGTTCCAACACTAACATGCACTGGATAAAACCCGTGGCTTGTTTTTCTAGGGTTATGATTTCGGCTTAGATATAAAACGTAAGTGGTAAATCATGTGTAAAATGTGTTTAGTGACTAGAACCCGTGGCATGTTGTACATTGGATGCAACACAAAAACGCAGTGGGTACGACCCGTGGCTCGTTGGTCTAGGGGTATGATTCCCGCTTTGGGTGCGGAAGGTCCCGGGTTCAAATCCCGGACGAGCCCTGATATTTCTTTAAATTTGAGTGCCTATTATTTACTACAATTGGTGTTTATTGAATATACCGCGTGGCTCGTTGGTCTAGGAGTATGATTTCCGCTAAAGTGCAAGAGGTCCCGGGTTCAAATCCCGGACGAGCCCGGACTTTTCTTTAAATTCGAGCACATATTATTTACTACAATGTTGTACATTGGATGCAACATGGGTTACAGATTAGTGTAGATATAAGTTCCATGTTATAATAAGCAATGTTTTAGGATAAGTTATTATTAAATGTGAATATTCGGATGTTAACCGAAAGGTTGGTGGTTCGAGCCCACCCGGGGGCGTAAAGTAGTTATTATTTATACTCTGGAATATTCAATGCATATTGTTTATACACAATAATAGTTGATGGTTATATTATTCATCATATATGTAGTTTACACGAGCCCGGACATTTCTTTAAATTCGAGCACATATTATTTACTACAGTATTGTATATTGGATCGAGAACATATTATTTACAACAATGTTGTACATTGGTTCCAACACAATCACGCACTGGATAGAACCCGTGGCTCGTTGGTCTAGGGGTATGATTTTGGCTTAGATAATAAACGTAAGTGGCAAATCATATGTAAAATGTGTTTATTGAGTATACCGCGTGGCTCGTTGGTCTAGGAGTATGATTTCCGCTTAGGGTGCGGGAGGTCCCGGGTTCAAATTCCGGACAAGCCCTGACTTTTCTTTAAATTCGAGCACATATTATTTACTACAATGTTGTACATTGGATGCAGCATGGGTTACAGATTAGTGTAGATATAAGTTCCATGTTAGAATAAGCAATGTTTTAGGATAAGTGATTATTAAATGTAAATATAGGTTATTTAATTAAGTAACAAACAAACGCCTTTTCATTAGTAATATTTAAAGTTTAACCGAAAGGTTGGTGGATTGAACCCACCCGGGGGCGTACAATAATTGTTATTCATACCCATTATTGTTCAATAATTATAATTATTGTTTATGCTATATATAATTTACTCCTACTATTATCAACAGCGCGATAAGAGCCTCCGTGGCGCAATTGGCTAGCGCGTTCGGCTGTTAACCGAAAGGTTGGTGGTTCGAGCCCACCCGGGGGCGTAAAGTAGTTACTGTTTATACACGGGAATATTCAATGCATATTGTTTATACCCAATAGTATTTGATGATTATATTATTCATCATATATATAATTTGCACGAGCCCGGACATTTCTTTAAATTCGAGCACATATTATTTACTACAGTATTGTATATTGGATCGAGAACATATTATTTACAACAATGTTGTACATTGGTTCGAACACAAACATGCACTGGATAAAACCCGTGGCATGTTGGTCTAGGTTATGATTTCGGCTTAGATATTAAACGTAAGTGGCAAATCCAAAAGTTGGTCTAGGGTATGATTTCCGCTTAGGCTGCGGGAGGTCCCGGGTTCAAATCCCGGACGAGTCCGGACTTTTCTTTAAATTCGAGCACATATTATTTATTACATGGGGGTACAGCGTTTCAGAGGCTGTCACTCAAACCGAAAGTAGACTTTGTATAGTTTGTATAGTTTATAGGAGTGAAGTAAATGTTAACTATTTGTGTGTGAAGTGAATCGAGCGCGATGTATGGACAGGTATTGGGCACTGGTTGCGCCGTGGGTTACAGATTAGTGTAGTTTATTGGGTATAAGAATAATTGTTGTTTATACTCATTATTGTTCAATAATTATAATTATTGTTCATGCTATAAATAATTTACTCATACTATTATCAAGAAGCGATAAGAGCCTCCGTGGCGCAATTGGCTAGCGCGTTCGTCTGTTAACCGAAAAGTTGGTGGTTCGAGTCTACCCGGGAGCGTAAAGTAGTTATTATTTGTACTCTGGAATATTCAATGCATATTGTTTATACCCAATAGTATTTGATGATTATATTATTCATCATATATGTAGTTTACACGAGCCCGGACATTTCTTTAAATTCGAGCACATATTATTTACTAGAGTATTGTATATTGGATCGAGAACATATTATTTACAACAATGTTCCAACACAACATGCACTGGATAAAACCCGTGGCTTGTTTCTAGGGTTATGATTTCGGCTTAGATATAAAACGTAAGTGGCAAATCATGTGTAAAATGTGTTTAGTGGCTGAACCCGTGGCATGTTGTACATTGGATGCAACACAAAAACGCAGTGGGTACGACCCGTGGCTCGTTGGTCTAGGGGTATGATTCCCGCTTTGGGTGGCGGAAGGTCCCGGGTTCAAATCCCGGACGAGCCTCTGATATTTCTTTAAATTCGAGTGCCTATTATTTACTCAATTGGCGTTTATTGAATATACCGCGTGGCTCGTTGGTCTAGGAGTATAATTTCCGCTTAGGGTGCAGAGGTCCCGGGTTCAAATCCCGGACGAGCCCGGACTTTTCTTTAAATTCGAGCACATATTATTTACTACAATGTTGTACATTGGATGCAACATGGGTTACAGATTAGTGTAGATATAGTTCCATTTAGAATAAGCAATGTTTTAGGATAAGTTATTATTAAATGTGAATATTCGGATGTTAACCAAAAGGTTGGTGGTTCGAGCCCACCCGGGGGCGTAAAGTAGTTATTATTTATACTCTGGAATATTCAATGCATATTGTTTATACCCAATAGTAGTTGATGTTTATATTATTCATCATATATTATATTTGCACGAGCCCGGACATTTCTTTAAATTCGAGCCATATTATTTACTACAGTATTGTATATTGGATCGAGAACATATTATTTACTACAATGTTGTACATTGGATGCAACACAACACGCACTGGATATAACCCGTGGCTCGTTGGTCTAGGGGTATGATTTGGCTTAGATAATAAACGTAAGTGGCAAATCATATGTAA